TATTTAATTACTCTAATTTGTACTTTTTTGTGTGGTACTTTCTTTTGTATTTGTCGATGTCACTTAATATGCTTCTCTTTTATATATGGATGTAAGTCAATGTGACTGAATCACATTAAATTTGAAACATTAAAATAGATTTTGAATATGTTAAATCATTGAACAAACTAGACTTGTGTTCAAGGGATTATATCCTACCTCTGATTATATGATCAATACACAATTAAAGAAAACTAATTACACACGGCTCCCTCATCTTTTGGCTTCCCGATCGAACAATGCAATCAAATAAAATTTTATCCAACTAAGTGTTATACCCCATTTTAATCGGGTCAAATAGTATACAACATATTGATGATTTCTAAATTAATTAAATAACTTAAAGATTCGCCAACTAATTAGGGCACCTAATATGGTTAAATAATGTCTAAAGTTAACTCCATTTTAAGGTTTTACTAAACATAAATATTAAGCAACTCCATACCATTCATAACACAACACAATGTTTTTGAACACGCACAGAATCATTTACTACTTCAACAACTTGTCAAGAATCAATAGAGTCACATTTAAACCATAATTTTAGCCAAAATAGAAATATTAAGCTAATTAACTAGCTTAAATATGGTATATAATCACATACCTAATGTTTAACTTTAAGCAAATAATTAACAGAACAATCTTTTAGCTTTCAGATTTCGACAAATATTCAAGAGTTTAGAACTCCTTTTTTTAATGATTAAACATAATGTTGTGCTGCAATAATAGTTTAAGTACGCATGATTCATAATAGTATTTCTAAAATTAATATCAACTTTCAAACTAGAACTATTACAGAGAATTAAACAGGAACTTATATGTATTACTTATAAAATTGAAACAAAGCAAACAGACTAATGTAACCTTCATAGTTTCCATACATCAATAAATCCTAACATCACTGCCATGGCTGAAATAGGGGGCGAAATCTGGAGAGAACAGGAAAGGAGGAAAAAGATAAGGAACTAAGAAATGTGAAATAAAGTAACGACAATCATCTTAAAGAGGACGACAATGAAATAAGAATATTGGTGTTGATGATACATTAGTAATTTTAAGAAATAGTGAAAACGATAACAGTAATAATAAGAATAATAATAATAATATATATAGTAATAAAAAAAAATAGTAGTGAAGTATACAGTATTACACTTATTAAAATTTTAGAAACACAAGGAAATAAATTAATAGAAAGGAGGGACAAAATTGGGTGTCAATACTAAGATTCTTATAAAAGACAAAAAAAAAAATACAACGAAGAAGACATAATTAAATTTCTAAATTAATACATTACTTCTATCATCAGAAGATGTATGAGAAATGCAAAAAGATTTATGTATCACTCCTTGTTTGTCCATCCAAAAATCTAAAAGGGAAATTAAACAATTTCTTTTGATAACTATGATGCATGCAATACTTGATAACAAATGTGGACCATTTAACTTGCTCCATAGTGGAGCAAGCCTGGGTTCAAGATTGAGCTCATGGTGGAAATTCTCGTTATTTATATTAGGATTTTCTTGGTTATCCTCATTTGACATTGAAAAATTAAGTTGGGCTTTAGGGCCGCGATACATCCTCACCGCCTTATCACATGCTCTTGCTGCCTCTTCTTTCGTATCAAAGGTCCCAAGCCATGCACGTATCTTTTGGATGGGGTTTGTAATATCAGCTTCGTGCTTCCCCTTTGGCTTCTTCCTTACACCCCTATATCGAACCTCAATTTGTTATAGTCGTTGTAATAACTGCAATCGATACTTGATGTGCTATATAGTTTCATTATTCCCTGGTAGAGCGAGGGTGAGTTCAAGATTGAGCTCCTCATTTTCTAGGTTATTCTCATTTGATTTCGGAAAATTGAGTTTGGCTTTAGGTCCCCGATACATCCTTGCCACCTTATCATAAGCTCCTCCAGCTTCTTCTTTTGTGTCAAAGGTCCCAAGTCAAACACACACCTTTTGGTTTGTAATTACAGTTCTGTACTTTCCGGTTGGCCTCTTTCTCACACCCTTATATTGATCCTCAGTTGGGGTTACTACAACTACAATGCAATTTTCTCTCTCTGCCATCTGAAAATATAAAAGGAATTTAATCTAAAATTACAGAAGAAATATTTTGTGTATAAAGAAGACTTAGTGAGTGAAAAAGCAACAGGGAGACTGATTTATATAGTCGTTTCTCAAAGGGATGTTTTTGTAATATACATTGTACATATAAGTAGCTTGAAAATGAAGAAAAAAATGACTTTTCTAAACAAAATAGTAGAAATAATAAATCTCATTCCAAGTTCATTATTCGTTAGGCTACCTTTATATATTTTGGGGTGACATTTTTAAAGTATTTGCCAAATAAAAATAGGTAAGTAAGTACTAAATTAACTTATTTTCCAAAACAAACAAAAATAAAATTCATCATTTGAACCAAATACACTCTTAGTTAAGCAATATTTTTATATTTTTTATTATGATAAGTGTGAATGATCATATATTCACAATTAATATTTTTTTACCTTTTAGTACATGATTGACATTATAGAATTGCATGTTTTATGATCTTTTTCTATTTTTCCAACCAGATGCCCCACCCATCCTCAACAAGTAAAGGGAAGTAAATATCCTTATTTTTATTTCTATTTGTCCTCCGTATTTTTAAATGTTTACTCAGGTCAATAAAATAAAGAGATCCAAAAAACAGTTTCAAAGATTTTTAGTTAAGGCAATAACATATATAGAAAGCAATTACTTATATCCCTACAATTGTCTATCAAATTAATCTTATCCCAACATATAGGTAAACCAAATTTTTTAAGAGAGTTAAATAATGAAACCTTCAAATCACGATAAAACTTTTGTTAGAAAATGTGATATCTACAAAATTTATATTCAATGGCTAATATATTTTTACATTTGTCTATCAACTAATTAAGACTATATATGTACTTTTATAAGTTGTGCAATGAAAACTTTGCAGCTTGTCGAGACCAATTGATAGGAAATTACTTTGTCGTTCTTCGAGTAGTGATAATATAATAGTTAGAATAAATGGAATTGGAAAAATTAAATAAAAGGGTTATACCAATGTAGTACTACTACGTACTAAATAATAGTGCAACGCTACTAATCTGGTACTGATATGAATAATCATGAAATATAGAAAAAATTCATCATGTAATAGATAATATGTTATAAATTGAATACAATCAAAATAAAATTAACATAGCGTGTTAATTAATATCATTAATTAACATAGCGTGGACACCACCACCATAACCACCACCATCAGAGTATCTACCACCTCCGCCGCCGTTCCTTTCACTTTGGGTACAATTCCTATT